TGAATGGAAATGATTGAATAATCTAATTAACAGACTTTAGACTCAATCCACACGAGATTTTCAGATACATTATGTTTCCTTTTTAATTGTGTAATGTGAAGAATTTATGGAGACGCGAAGTGTGAAGTCGTTAAACTCTGAACCTAACTAAAAAAAACAACAGTAAATTCACTATTACAGTTGAAGCATGCTAAAGGTTTAATTCTAATCATTCAGTTGAGTCGCACCAACCAACCCAACCGAAAGTTAACAATTGCACGAAAATTGATCGGTGAGCGGAAACTAACGAATTTTGAGGATAAACGATAACATCGGCATTTCGAAATCAAAGTTTTTTTGATCAGCAAAAAGAATATATTTACTTGAGATTCATTCTTCAAAGATTTCCTCAACTGTGATCTGAGGTATGAAAATCCATGATTCATTAAGTTAATAATACCAGTTTACGATCAATTCTTTTCTGTGTGTTTGGTGCGATTGGAAGTAATCCTTACAGACTTTCGTGTGAACTCATCGACAATTTAAGTCGATTATACCTTTGCTAATTGGGTACAGGACATACAGAGTCCAACCATGAACAAGTTTTGATGCATCAAATATGACATGATAATTCCTGTAAAACCTTTGACTGAAGAACGTCTTTGATCACATCCACTACATGTCAAAAAGAATACTGAGCTTTAAGACAATTGAGCAACAAATGAGATTTTTTCGCATATGAATGTTGACGAGATAATGAAAAAATGGCGCAGTTAATTGATTTATTTACTGTTCTATTTACGTCAATTAATTTGCAAATCCAAGCAAAAAATGACACAATCGATCCTTGGTTAACGAGCCGGCTTAAAGAAGGATATCCTGCCATCATACAATCGAATTTTATTTTCATCTATGATAAATTTAAACCTATACCGAAATTGGTTAAGGCCGCGTTACACTGTACCGAAATTTAAATGAGACTCGCATTTCAGTGTCGTTATGATGAATGAACTAGTATGTGCGTAATTTTCGTACCATTTGCGTGAACATTACGTAAACAATGCCTACGGGCATGTAGACACTGCGCATGCAATACTTAACCTTTACATAAACACGAAGTACAATTACGTGTCAATGTATGCCAATTTGGGAAATTATCTGGTAGTGCATTGCGTATACAGTATGTGTTCAGTATGCGAACTAGCGTGAAATGAAAAATCAAGGACCCACTTGCATCCAAACCAAAGTTGTACTACGAATGACCAACTGTTGGGTATTAAACCGATCACACGACAGTGGAACCTAGCATTTGTCTTATCTATGGTCGATCTCGATCACTAAGATTTGGAAGCACGATTAGACGGATTCAATGCGATGCGGTTCGATGATCACGGTGGGCAATCTATGTGTCGATCGGACTAAACTGATAGCCATTGGATAACACATGGTATTCCTTCATGACTTTGTATCTATGGTTGCATGAATCCTTATTGTCTGATATCAAGTACACAAGAAACTCTGTCGTACAAAATTTGAATAGCCTAGAGTAAAATTTTGCTCAAAAATGAGTTTTCGTTCTTGAGCGCTGTGGTCGAATTATACTTAGGCCCGTATGCAGCGCTCTTACCTTGACTAAAGTCAAGTGGACCCGAGTCGAACTTTACAAAGTTAGGATTAAGGCTTTCATTTTCTACATTTGATAGCTTTCGTAAAGATCGACCGGTGCATACCTAAAGTTCGACTTAAGTCTAAGTTTAGGTCAAGTACGAACGCTGCATATGGCCTTAAGTTTCTTGCGCTTTTCCCGAATAAAATTGAATGATTTAAGGTCAGCAAAAATGCAGTTAGGGCAAATATTATTGCAACATTCATTTGTCTTGTGAAGAAAGAAAAAGGTTTTGTGAGAGCATGGTATACATCAAATGCGATTTTCTCCATTAAAGTTTTTGTTGGATATCAAATTTTTACTCAGACATCTCAACGATCCTCTTCATTTAAACAACCGTCAATTTGTTCTACTTCCTCAATCATTGCTTAGTATCATTGAATTGAACATTGAATTTCTTTTATCAAAATATTTCTGTTATTTGAATTGTGTAGTTTAAAGCCAGTTATCAGCATACCAATGCTTTGCGTTTCATGTATGGATAAAAAGAGACTTCACAGTGAAACAGACAGTGTACAATAGCTCTATTTAAAACTAATAGTAATATTTATGTCTCCCGCGCTTTGAAGCTTTGGAATGACGATCATTGGTATTCAAATATAATTAAGTGTTATTAGACATGATACGAAATTGTAGTCAAACGTCAGTTAAAATTCAATCAAGTATTACAGACAAATTACATGAAATAGATTGTATTGTGCATTGCTAGAGCTGTGTTTTTGTCTCATTGTCCGATTACACTGACATCATTAAGTTTATCATTGTTTAGGTTCTATTAATGCCAATATAACAACCAACGATTAAAGAATTCGATTAGGTAAAATAACGACCATCAAATTGAAGGAGATTTCAGTTAGGTGGGTAATAAATCATAATTCAAAATCGTAACCAAATAGATGATTTCAATCGGTTATTCACGATGGCGTCATTCAGTGACCAAAATAACGGTTTTAACATTGAAAAAGACGTAACGGTCTCGTGCATGACTCCTCAACTACTGACAAGGCTAATTAAAGTTCACGAATGAATCATATACATATTTCAAAAAACAATGTTACAGCCAAAGCTAGATGAAACTTTCCGAGTCAAATGTACACTTACAAAACGTCATTATTGCCATTACTTATTCTAAAGCTCATATTCCATACAAGGGAAAATTTTAATCAAATTTGACAATAGACAGTATTTGCTAAACTAAACTTCCATCAGCAATATTTATTAGTTGATATCTGAATTCATAGAAAAACTAAACGTGATTGTGGTCGGAAAGTCTGTAGATAATCAAATTTGATGAGATGTATTGATCTACAATATTTTGTAGGAACCCGCAGTGGCTCAGTGAGTTAGACGCTTGATCGCTAACCTGAAGGTCCAGAGTTCAATCTCGGCATAGGTCGAGATAATACCTTCGGATTTTTCAACCCGGTTTCCCCCTGTCATTGCACCCTCCATGAAAAGCAGGACATAAAACTCCATGCATTTCATTTTTACAATATTTTGTGCCCAGAAAAACCCAATGAGTTGCCAAAATCTTCTCACTTCACCTCCTTCAGTGAAAAACGAGCGGGAATTTAAATCAGTGTTGGAACCTACGCTTAATCTTAAACTTTAATCTTCAAAATCTACGAGACAAATTTGTGACGACAAGTTAAGTCGAGGCATTATCCTGCTAAAATTGATTTATAATGTATTAAGATTTTTAAGCCTATCTGTCTATTGGAACTGTAATTGAGATAAATCAAGTGAAATACATGTAGGCCTACGTGATATGATATCGAAGCACAATTTGTTTAATATTTTCAAATAGCCACATTTCAGACATCCTCAACACTGGCAAGAAGTTTCGAAGAGTCTCTCTTCCGAACGAGTCACGACTTCTTTAATAGGGGTCTGTAGACCACATCTTGGCCAAATTCAAACCATAAACAGTTCAGTTAATTTAGGTCGTTTGAGTTGTAATCAACACCATCCAACAACCGATCTAGATGAAACTAAGAATCTATGATGCGAACACTACAATAGTTGTAGTCCCATATGATTCCAATGTGACTAGATAGAATTGATGTGAACAGTAATTAGATTTTTCTCACGAAATAGGGATCTATAACGTGACACTACAATAGTTTTAAGTTTTCTCTTATCGCTTTCCATGAGACTAGGAAGAACTGATGTGAACATTACATTAGTTGTAATTATTAATTTCCATGGAACTAGGGATTCTTTAATATGAACATCACGTTAGTAAGGACACGTTGCCTCATCTGATTTTCACATGGCCAGGAAGGATTCATGTGAACACTAAAGTAGTTTACATGGAACTAGATATCTTTAATGTGAACATTACAGTAATTGTGACATGTTGCCGCGTCTGATTTCCTCGTGTTAGAATTGCTTGATGTGAACACAACAATAGTCGTAACATGTTTCCTTATCTTGATATTTACATGGCCAGAAAGGATTGATATGAACACCCCCGTTTGTACTTAGTTATTTCCATTTAAAAAAAATATCCTTAATGTGAACACTGCAATAATCGCAACATGTTGCTTCGTCTGAGACTCTTATGTGATATTTAGTGCTCTGTGATTTCTAAGTATAGTTGTACTCGGTACTTATAAGTCACGAGATGACCTCCCTATTGTCTGATGTAATACTGTCCGATTAATGGAATAAGGGTATCTAGTATAAATAATAGCAATTATACAAGCTCCAAGTCTGTAGCCCCATAATTATCTCACAAGATTGAATACATTCATATCCATTTATAGACAGAAAGATGATAGCTTGGTGAAGGCTTAAAAGACTACATGCATTTGAAAATTGATTCAATTAAGTTCATCTGAATTCTAGTAGTTTTCAGCCAAAAAACTAACAAACCAATATCCAATAAAATGATTAAAAAGAAATGGGGAATTGCTTTTAGAAAAGTTGAAATGTATGGAAAAGGTTAAAAAGAGTTATTAGCTTTTCCTACACTCTTGGATTAATGAGAAAGATTTAGCCGCGACAAATAGCTTATTTTATATAAAACTTTCAACGTGTCCTGTAGGCGCCTTTGATAACTTTTATGTTATGGCCTCAATGCTGCATTAATGGTAGACGAACGAGATATCATTAAGATCAGATTCTTGCTAACAATGACGAATTGTGGGATATTGTTTGCAAGGAGGCTGTCACATTTTTCTACTTTAGGTTTCGTTAGCCCTCTGTTCATCATTGTAATCAAGAAACATGACTTGATTGGTTATAAATAAGGTAATTAGAATGGTTCTTCGGTAGAAACTTGTTAGATTACAAAAAAAGGACAGAGTTATATAAATTAAATTACATTGCCTAGAATCCATTAAATACTTACCATTGTGGTTTCACTAATGGAATCAATGCTATTTATATACAATGCTACGTCTACGTTAGTGGCGGTTCCTGAAAGATTAAGAAATATTTTGTTTTAACTTGGTACATATAAATCAGTTTAAAATCTGCCACCCCTTCATTTAACATGTTATATATATAGAGAACGTCATCAATTCAACGTTATTGCCCAAGTTTCTTATTTATGAGCTTCTGCATCTGTTTTATTACCCATTTGCTTGTAATAGAATAGAATAGAATAGAATGATGGTTTAGAGTAGGCGAAAGTTAATAAAATTAGACATTATTAATCGGAATGCCTTGATTCTCAAACTAGATGAAAATGATGTACAAAAAACAACGGATATATCACGGTTCAGTAATAAAATCTAACTGTACCCATGGAAACCTAAGCTTATATAATGAAAATTAGCATACAACTGAAATTTGTCTCGAGTATCGCTATATCTGTTTTCAATAGTATATTGATATAATGCAGCAACAGTTTGCAAAGAAAATACATGTCAATTTCTCATCAAAAAGCAATTCAGTTAAGGAATAGATATTGTACAGAAACAAGGTTTTTCCACTTCAAGAACGCCCACTGTTAAGTGTCAATATGACGATGTGATTCAAAGCATCCGTTTCAGCCGACATGAGCGAAACCCAGGTTGGTATAACTTTGGATTGACCAAACGCACCAACTACCAGTGCAGAAACATACATATGAACCAACCCAATACTACCAGTGAGCGGGCCATGCAGGGGCTACAAAATTTTTCAGGTGGGGGGTGGGGCATTCTTTTACTATATAAAATGATAAAGAATTTCAAAGTTGGGGAGGGGGGAATTGCGAAGCCGTAACTACCAACAACTACCTTATCTGGGATATCAGCATCTTCGGACGTCAACTTATCATCTACAATCCAGCAGGACCAATCGGGGGTTAAAAAATTTCACAACTTTTGCGACTATTAAACTTCTTAATGGTTGGTTGGTGCGGTTGTGATTATAAACAATTTCTCGAGACGCTGCAAATTGTTCTACTACTATCATCTGCATTTACGACAAGATCAATTAAAGAAAGTAACTGGTTACTGTTCGATCGACAAAACAAAACTTTAAGTTTCAAGCATCCAGCTTTGCTCTCAGACCTTTCTTTAGACCATCAAAAAAACTCACCCAAATCAAATGTTGGCGTCACTTTATTATCATATTCCATTAACATAGCTTTGACAAATTGAGTCCTGAAACGATCAAACAAGACAAATATTATAGATGAAATATGGAACTGATAAACTAATATGACAAGTAAAATACTTCATGGTAAATTACTATCATTCATGTAGACATTAAGTGGCAAAAGACACGAAAACAATAGATAAACATAAGTGAAGCAATTATTTGGATATAGGAACACATCGTTTCGTCTTAATATGAATACATATCGTCCCATTAAAAACTTCAATAATTACTTCACTGGTTGAGTTCGAGGCGACAGTAAAATTGGTAGCCAAATATTTTCAATGGCGCGATTTGATTTCGTTATATTGTACCATGTTGATAAAGAGTAAAGTGTGTTTCAACGAATTTCGTTATGCTATGTCTATATGAAATAAAAGAAGAGTAAAGTATATGTAAGGTTCGCTCTGATTCGGAATAACCTACGCATAGCTTGAAGAGTTCTTATGGCGAGCCATTTACAGTGCCTTCAAGATGTTCTTATTAAGATGAAAAAGAAAATCGGATGTGTCACAAAGCTGTTAGAACGACTACTTGAATGATTGGCTGCCCAGTAAACTAAATTACCTGCCACCTCCAAGAAATCCGTTAAGATATATGAGTATTGTCATCTACAAGAAATCATCCAAACTATTCATCTTACTCTCTACCTTCAGACGATTTAGTATCACACAAAAATTTAAAATTCACAGCACGTTTGGTAATGTAAATGGCCAACTAATTTGGAGCAACAAATGACAAAATAAGCTAGTACTTCGTGAGGCGAGCTAAAATTTTCAAAGGAAGGCTTATTATAAGTGGTGAAAATGGAATGCAATTTTCTGTCATTTTGAGATTAAGTTTATAGATGATCTTCAACGAAAAAAAAACCTGTTTATAGTTTTGATTAAACTAAACGTACAATAGACAACTGCAAAAAAGTTGTCGGCAACACACTTGTAACAAATCGCAAATATCATGCATTTATGGTTTCTGTCAGATTGGGCCTGAGTTTTAGCAAATTATAGTCCACAACACATTAGCTCTGATTTTTGTATTTGTTCTTAATCTAATTCCAGTATAACACTGTCACGAAACTCTCTTGACGATCTTGATCGTTCAACGCTTTTACTAATTATCACAAAAAGCACCACAAATAAATTAGACCCAAGGGAGAAAAGAACAAAATTAATTTGAAGCGGCAGCTTTATAGATCATGGAGAAGGTCTGTGACGTTGTATGATAATTAAAGTACATACTCTAGTCCGAAACTATCATCTGGACTGCAAAATAAATGTGGTTCGTTTAATTTTTTCCAACTATCTTTTAACCTGTAACTTGAATCAAACAGGTTGATAAAGTGTATTTACAGAAAGAAAACAGTAAGGTTTTAAGCTGACAGCAATAATTCAACTTCTACAAGAGCCCCACAGGAAATAGTAAGTTGCAGTAGTTCAGCGAAAAAAAGCTTAATGTAGCCTTTTGCTACAAGCAGTGAACACTATTAATATTTTCGATAGAGTAGGTTCATGTCGATATGTTAACAATTTTTCTCGCTACAAAGAACGTGGTGGTACCCGACATCATCAATTCCATGTTACAAATATAATTTCAGTAAGATTCAAACTAAATATATTGATGGAGACTGACGAGCAACTAGAAATATTATTATTTCAGAAGCTATCCATAAAAACATCTGGTACTCGCCAGACATTAACACGTTATATTTCCCATGTGTATATTAAGCAACGGTCATCAGATGGTTCTTTGAAACAATTAATTGCATTCGAGACATTCGATTGAATTAAGGCTAATAAATGCCATCACAGTCGTGTCTCAGATGTGCTTTCTAACTAGAAGAAATGGGCGTTTGTTTCCCCATAGGCTCATAAAACATTGGAAACATGAGCAGCGCTGAAGGTTCAATTTGCTTTTTAAATAGAGCTTTCGTGTGATTCTTTTCTCTCTAAATATGATATAGAGATAAGATGACAGAAGGAAATATTTACCACAAATCTAAATCATTTGTAAGGATTATCAATTGTCTACAGATTTCTTCTTCACAATATCAATTTCTGAATAAAAGATAAGGCTTTGTCCTCTGTGTATAGCAGTCACATGAAGTAACATCATTTAGTAAATTTGAGAACTATCATAGCGAAGTGTGGTATTCCTTGTGCGTTGACAAAATGCGTCTATATGATGCCCCAGGGAAATCCCGTGACAAACATAAAAAAGGGATCAACTTACAAGGTACGTCCCCGAAGGTATGATATTTTGTATCCATGAATTAAAAAACAGCACAGCACAGTTCTATGCGCTCTCGGAATACTCAGAGCTGAATCTTTTAAGTAACAAGATGGCTGACCATACTCTCTAAAATCATGGATTTGCATATCCTGAAAGTATAACTGTTTGCCAACACCAGACCCATTAATCTTTTGACAGATCCAACCTTTACTACAAGATCTAGGGTATTAGGAATCTTGGTCAGAATAATATTGGTTCATTGGCATTTTATAAAATATGGTCCATACTAGTAATCTATTTGCACGATGAAGTGATAGAAATCGACATGGTTTTCAAATATAGTCATAATCTAGCTATAATTGACAATTATTTTCATCTTTTGCAGAAATAACAATGAAAACATGAAGTTCCGAGAATAAAATCAAATTTGTTATAAATCACACGCATTTTGCGTCAATGGAATTCTTTTTTTAAAATCTTTCCATGAATATTTTCTTTGACGGTTGTATCATATATATTTAATGAAATACAATGTATTTCCACAGCAATTATTATATTCAAATTTTGTAAACTATTGCCCTTAAATGCGTTATTGGTGTTGATGTTGTTTAGAGTATATGGATACTCGTTAAGACTGAATCTTTATTTAATTTATCGTTTCCAACCTTATAGCGTTTGTTTTGTTTCAAAACATGAATTAATCCCCCGGACAATAAATAGAATACCATATATCTCTCGTAGGATTAAGTTATCTATGAATTTCTATTAGTGTTTTGAATATCGATGTTGATTAATTATGGTGATATTGAGACGAGTCCATCGTCTTGGTATAATATTTCATAACTAAGAATATATATATAATTGACTTCTTAACATACCCGTATGGTAAACCAACGACCAATCTTGAAGAACGTGCAGAACATAAGAATATTTGAGACGAGGCACATCAACTCTGTTTGTAGAAAGGACTATAAACTAGAGGTCCCAAAACATTTCATTAGTAAAATCTTAACAGACGGTTTTTCAGTGCCGTTACTAAGGTCTTTTTCTATGAGGCAAAAAATCCTGTTGTGTTTTTGGTAGACTTCACACAGCAACCGCCATTAGAACCCATATAGAAATGTTAAAACAGAACTAACATGTTGCATGTTCAGATATTTTGATATATCTATCACCAGATTCATCCAAATTTTTCTTGCAAGGGAATAAGAGCTTTTAATGTACCATCCCTCAGATATCCGGTTATCAATTAGATATACTCTTCACGAAATATATTAATTAGTTATGTCATTATTATGCATACTTCCTACTAGCCTGGTGTCCTGAAGAGCTATAAATGAAATTCAGCATGCAACTTAACGATTAAACGATAAGAATTATAAAGAGGTGTAAGTCCTTGGGGATGGTGTTTCACCATCGCCAATAGAAGCCATGTGCGAAATTACTTAAAAAGTACCTTTCTGAGACTGGAGTATGGAAGTTTTTTTTGTATTTTCTCCATTGATGCAGTAATCGTTGTCTAGGTGCTAATTTTAATTCTGTATATGGTCATCCAGAAATTCTGGATGGTTTGCCAGGCAAGTTAACATTCACCCACAGACAGCTTTGTTA